TCATACTTGGAAGAGATTTTCTTTGTCATCTAATTCAATAACACATCTCAGGCTTGTCTGCCACCTTCCCTTTGGGTGGCCATTCTGCTTTTGTGAACAAAAGTCTCTTGGTGAGCAGAATATAACTGTGACGTCCTAAGGCAGGCCTAACTGTCATCAGGAGCCTATCCCCAGGCAAAAATCTGTCCTCATCTATTTATTGGTTTCCTTGTAACCCTTGGCGTCTTGCAGTTAAGCTGACAAAGGACTGTGATGTTGTTGTTTTCTCTGAACATCATACTTTATCTTGTATATACCCACTGAAAGCAGACATATTTTCAGAGATAATTGCCTTGGTAATTCTCTCTCCTTTTTAATTGCTATTTTATGCTTTTTTGTTTAATTAATAAGCATATTTTCTGAGCCAGAATTATGTTTTATCTTATGCATCTTTTCAATAATTTTCCTTAGAGATAAAATAGGATAATTGTGATATATCATTATACTTGGGCAACTTCTCAGAATCCCTTCACTCTTCCCATACTCTAGGGCTAAACAAACTTGTTCTCCTAGCACTTAGCCTTTTCCGTTATCAATATAATGAGTTATGAGTCCACTATCCATTCACTAATTCAATACGTATTTATCATCTTCTGTATGCCAGCAGTGCTTTATGGATACAGTGATAAGCAAAATCAGGTGTGATATCTACCTCCTTAGAGCTTTCACTCTATTAATATTATTAATTATTTACATAAGTAAATGTAAAATTGCAAGTTTAATGAGTTCGCGAGAGAAAGGTACATGGTGTTATGAAAGCACAAAATAGAGAGTTATTGGTGTCATTGAAGCCTTCCCTGGAGAAGGACTAAGCGGAGGACCAGTAAAAGTTAAAATAAGCTAGGACAAAAGGATAGGAATGTCATTTCAGGAAGAAGAGACAATATGAGCAAGCCCTTTTGGCAAGAAGGCAAAAGGAAACATGATACATTCAAAGGACAGGGGGGGGGGGGGGGGCCAGTGTGATGAGGTTGAGAAAGCTAACAGCAATAGCAAATGGGATGAGCATGGAGAGACAGAAAAGATTGAGACTATTCGGAGGAGAAACATTAGCATTAATTTGGGGAATGTTTTGTGGACAGAGCAGCCTTCAAATGCTTGTAAAGAACATTCCTTGGAAAGTAGCTGAACAAAAATACAAGAGAGAACAGATGGTGAGAAAGAAATGCTTTAATTAGTAATTTTGAGAAGGAAATGTAATATCCAGGTCCAGCTTGTGACCTGGGCTGAAGGTAGAGTGGACATTCTTGTTGTCAATAACTCAGTCAAAGACCTGGCAGGCCAGGTGTTAGGTGGGTCATTTCTTGGATGCTGAAATCACCCAGGGATTATGACATACCTTGAGGTGGAGACAGCCATAACTCAGAGCCAGAGGCTTTGATGAATGTGGGGAAATGACCAAGGTCACCAATAATTGAGAACTGAACATTGTTGCCATGGCTCTACAATAATTTGTGTAATTTCTCTGTTGGGCATTACATCTTCTAAAGGTTAATGCTAATGGCCATTGCAAGTGAGCATGATTACTGTATTTATTAGCTTTATACAGCCCTATAATTTTATGATTTAAGTGCTTCTTGGACATCAAAAAGTTAGAGAAGAATTTTCAGGGGAAGAGAATAGAGAAAGAAAACTAAGTGTAAGTCTAGAAAGGTTCCTCAGGATATAGAATTCAAGGCCAACAGAGAGTTTACTCTGTAGGAGCTGGAGAGTCAGCAAAGGCTGCCATTGTTTGGTGGGTGCTTGAAATAACTACAGGAAGAATCACTTGCAACAGGCACACGAGATAGATTGAAGAAGGAGAGAAGGCTGGAAAGAACACAGTTATGATTTGGCTGCAGTTGTCAGGATGAGGCAGGTCAGGTCAATCAGAAAAGGAGGTAAAGAAAGGGTGGTGCAAGATATCTCAAAGGGCAACAGGAAGGACAGTCATATACTGTAGTGACTGGTAGAGAAGTAAAGCCATAGGCCGAAACTGCAAAGTCAGGAAGCGATTCATTTTTCAGAATAGAGGTAACATTTTGGTTCTGGAGCACATCTGGGGGAGGAATCTAGCAATTACAGATGTAGGTGGTAAACTCAGGGGAAAGCCTCCTGTGCTGAATCTCTAATCATAAATGCCCATCTTGGCCTCCTTACTTTTCTCTGCAGCCCACAGGTACTCCTCCTTTCTTCCCCCTCCATTTCCTTTCATCCTTTTCATGAACCCCTTGCTGTTTTAAGTGTATAGCTATTTTTCATTTTTTTAAATTTTATTGATTTGAGTGAAAGAAACATTGATTTGTTGTTCCACTTACACATTCATTGGTTGATTCTTGTATATGCCCTGACCAGAGATCGAACCTGCAACCTTGGTATATTGGGATTATGCTCCAACCAACTAAGCTACCTTGTCAGAGCTTTATAAGTTTATTCCTCCTCTCTCCATTTTTATAGCCCTCTTCCCAAACATTTATTGTTTCCTAGAACCTCTCCCACTTTCTTTCTTAGGGCTCTTTACCTGTGTCCCCATATCCCTAAAGTCCTTGGCATGCTTTATTATTGCTACCTCTTGTCAGTTCTGTCATCCAGACTTTGGGTTTTAGAAGACAGGGGCTCTTTAAAAGGGTCTGTGATCTAGATTCCTCTGATTCGATAATTTGTTTAATGGATTATGTAATTTATTAATTAATAGGTTTTTCAAATTTGAAGAATTTTACATTCTGAAGCCACCATTTAAGAACAATGAATAGGATGAAAGAATTCAAAACAAATCCACAATCCCAAATATCATAGATAAATTTACAAAGTTTCAAGAGCTTATGCATATTTTTTTTGTATTACAGCGGTTGTGACTGTCATATCACAGTGCTTGAGTTGAGCTTGGCCCTTGTTTTATTTTGTCCCATTTCCTAATGCACTCTCTAACAAAGCAGGCAGAAACCTAGTTAGACGAGGAACATTTTCTTTTTCTCAGAAATAAGTAAAACAACTTCTTTTGCACACATCTTCTCTAAAAGTCTACTGAGATTTCAACCATTAGTATAAACTACTGAAATATGTATTTGCCTTCCAATAAAACTGCTTTTTAATTAATTAATTTTTATTTTTAAATCCTCACCCAATGATGTTTCCTGATTTTATAGAGAGAGGAAGGGAGAGAGAGAGTGGGAGAAAAACATCAATGTGAGAGAGAAACATTGATTTGGTTGCCTTCCTTGCATGCCCAGACTTGGGATTGAATCTGCAGCTTAGATATGTGTCCTAACCAGGAATCAAACCCACAGCCTTTTGGTGTATGGGACAATGCCCCAACCAACTAAGTCACCTGGCCAGGACAAAAATGGTCTTTTAAATCTCAGTTCTCTTCATTTCAGTAACACCTCTCTCTTTCTGCATCTGCACTGACAATGTCACAGGAGCCTCCCTGACTAGATCTCCTCACGGATTTGTTTCTGCACCTGGCTAAAGCAGAGAGGAGAGAAAGCAGAAAGCTGGAGTGACATATATTTAATAAATGCTCCAAAAAAAAAGGGAGCCAGGGGAGGTTAAACAGGTAGGAACAAACATAGAAGAAGGCAGGGTTGAAAATCCAGGGAAATAATATGCAATCTATAAGAGAAAGAAATATTAATAGTTGTCAGGGCCTGAGGAGAGGGGAGATTGTGGAGTGACTGTTAATGTGGACTTTGGGGATGATGAAAATATTCTGGAATTAGTGGTGATGCTTATACAATTTTGTGAACATATTTTAAAAATCACTGAGTTATATGTTTAAAACACTAAAAAATAAACTTAAGGGAAATCCAGGGGTAAAGAGATTGGAATATGGAGAAGTAGTCAAGGCCATATAATAGTGAAACAGATGAAAACTGATTGAAAGCCAATGGGGACTTGGTGATAAGGAAGCCAGTGGGGAACTTAAAGGGAGTATTTTCAACAGAATGGTCACTCCCATTTCTTCTTTCTGCTACATAATTTATACCTTCACATACTATTATCTGTTGGCAAAATGTCTGAGAGTTATGCAATTCAGAAATATGTTCAGCTTATATAAACTAAATGGCCATTGTGGGTGAGTTTGTGTAATTTTGATATGTGCTCATGCTCACTGGAACATAGTAGAAGTGTGTCAGTCTTCCTGCCCTTTTAAAACCAAAGCCATGTAACCAAAACAGGTCAGCTCAGGATATCTTAATCTCAAACATAATTTCCAGAGGCCCTAAATGAAGCAGGCATTGCCTCTGATGATAGCTTTTAATTGTATGGCTATTTGGCAAGTTGCCCTGTCTTCTGTCAGTTTATTGATGGAGAGTACTGTTAGCCTTGTGACCCTGGGCCAACCATGTGTATTTTCTGAGCCATATTTGCTCAATTCATAAACTTAGAGTAACAAGAGAGTAATAATCCTTAATTTGAGCATCCCTTATGAAAAAATTATATAAAATGGCTTTGAAAACTATCAAACAAATGTAAATAATGTTTAATTAATGTGTGTGTGTGTGTGTGTGTGTGTGTATTTCAGAGAGGAAGGGAGAGGGAAAGAGAGATAGAAACATCAATGATGAGAGGAAATCATTGATTGGCTGCCTCCTGGATGCTCCCCACTGGGAATCTAGCTCATAATCCTGACATGTGCCCTTGACCAGAATCAAACTCAGGACCCTTCAGTCCACAGGCCAACATTCAATCTACTGAGCAAAACCACGTAGGGAATGTTTAATTGATGTTGTCAAATTAAAGAGACAATTAAATTTTTTAGTGCTTTTAGCTTTATTTTGGTATAGCACTAGTTCCCTTAATGCATAGTTTGTAGGATCTCAGGCTTTGAATCTGTCTGTGCCTTACTAAGGCCCACCTTCTTCAATATTAATAGGTTGAATTCAATACTGTTTAAATGAGATAAAATCCAGTATCATGCTATGATTGACTTCTGTATTACCTTCATCTTTTTTCTTTTTTTTCTTTTGTTCTCCTCTTAGGTTTCCCTAATGAGCCTGCTGCAGTGATTGCCCTCAGCACCATTAAGGAATGGCTGGCTAAGAATCACCATGAGGTAGGGAGAACTACACAATCACTGAACATTCAAGGTGGTGTGATTACAAACACACACACACACACACACACACACACACACACACACACACATATACATACATATATATATATATATATATATATATATATATATATATATATATATATTATAAATACCAAGTAGGCCTAATCATTGAGCTAAAGCTAGATGATAATTCTTCATTCAGGTACCATGAGTGATTGAGTATTTTCTTATAATTAATTTACTGCAGAAATTACATTGATTGGTTTTGGTGGTGAAGAGTCAAAGTGATTGGACTCACTTAGCAATTATCTCATTTTAATATCTTTCAATAGTATAGGTCTTGTATGTAAGAGAAAGAACAGAATGGATTTCATTAAGAGGAAGAATGAGGGATTGTCCTGTGCTGTTTTCCTTAGAAAGTTATGTTATCTTGGTTGACAGGAGATTCCTGGTATAGAGTAAAATTTTTTCATCCTGAGTTTTTTTTATATATAACTAATCTCTTCCATAAAGTAACTTCTGAGTGTGAGATTGGAATGGACTTGGATTATTGATAGACAAGTAGTCTTGATTAGGATTTTTTAGGAAACAAAATGCTTCCATCAGAGTATTCATCATACACCATATTCTGCTTATTTATTAATATGTTTAGGGTTATTTGATGAACAGAAGAATTACTCAAGTAAACAAAGCAATACAATCAGTAGAGCACAGTGGAGGCTCAGATGTCAAAAGTTCAGAGGTTTGGCAATTAATAGCCAATAAGTTTCATACAATGAACAATCTTGTGCATTTTCTTCTGATTTTGTTTTTCTTCTCAGATATTGAGATGACTACTATAAAAAATGTTGTTCCATTTATGATGGACGATGAATTAGCTTTTTCTTTGGGTGAGGGATGGATTATTTGGAAATGTTTGGGTTTGGAAATAAACTGTTAAGAATTTCCTAGTGAGAGATAACTCGTGGTGCCTTTGTGTATTTAAATAAATACCAGTGTCATATTCTGCTAATGAAAGTAATTTCATTATTTCTTAAACAATTATAGACATTGCTGTCTCAAATAGAAGTGAAGACCAAATGGCAAAGCATCTGCATTTTACTGCTTGCTCTTTATTTTCTTCCTACTTTGAAAGGTATACATCTGACAACTTCACCTTAGAGGATAATTTTAATAACCTCAAAGAAGCAGAATAAAGAATTCTAAAATAGCCAGTTGGCAAAACATATCTTTGACAAGTATCATTTTCATGACAGTCTTATGAAAAATCTAGGATAGGTATTGTTTTTCTTATCTTCATCTAGAATCGCAAAGTTAAATGACACACTCAACCCTTCAGAGTCACAGAGACAAGAGCCTGACTCAGCCCTCCTGACTCTCACAGCTATTCCTCCTTGGAATTCTCCTGAGGCAAGGGAAGGAACGTTAAACACTTTGAAAGCTAGTATTTTCAATATATCTCTTGATCATAATAAAGACACCTCACCTGGACCATCTGTTTTGCAAAAATGTAGAGGGTTCATGAGTAAAAGTTGATAAATGAGCTGGTATATGGTGCAGATACATTATTTCCAATAAACTAATGGGATGCTCCCACTGATGAAAATTCACATGTGTCATATTGGCATGTGATGGATGTACACATAACCATACATAACATAAAGGGGGTAATAATAAAGAACAGACATGTTGGTCATGTTTATACCTTATTAAGAGTTCTACTGATGGATTACTTTTAGTTAACTATTCAGAAAGTCATTTTCCATTGACATTTGTTATCTTAGTATTTCCTACTTCATGGTTTTTTGCACTAATTTTTTTTTTACTAGCCTACTATGTATTTTCCTTTCATATATTTTTCTTGCTTATTTCTTGGATCTGATGTAAAAAATATAGATAATTTGAGTTGAGAAATACTGTTATTGCGATTGCAACTTTAAACACATGCCATACTAATTCTCTTTTAAAAGGCTTGCTGTTTCAATATGCATTGACTACTCCAACTCACATGGCTCAGTGGTTGAGCATCAACTTATGAACCAGGAGGTCATAGTCTGATTCCTGGTCAGGGCACATGCCTGGATGTGGGCTAAATCCCCATTATGGGGCATATAAGAGGAAGCCAGTCAATGATTCTCTCTCATCTCCTTCTCCCTTCTTCCCTGAAATCAATAAAAATAGGTTTTAAATATGCATTGGCTAATTTCAAAAAACTAACTTGAATAATCAGGTTTTACTTAATAATGGTTTTTAAGTGGTAAGATATGGAGAAAGCTATACCAACTGATTAGCTTTACTTTGATTTATATTTTCCTCTATTAAAACAAAAACAAACAAACACTGGTTAAGAAAAATATTTCTTCTTAGTTTCCTCTTCACTAAAGTATTGTTTTGTCACTTTTATTGTTTAAGCTACTTATTTATTTATTTACTTATGTATTTATTATTCATTTACTTATTTACTCATTTGATAATATTTATTAAATCCCACTAAGTACAATAAATTTTTCTAAATACAAAGTACATAACATGGAAAGACATAATTGTTTCTTTATGATGTTCATAGTCTAGAAAAAGTGAAGCATAAATTAAACAAATGAAGAAATAAGAGAGTTCAAATACTATGAGCGAAACAGGTAATTGGATAGTTAGTTATAGGGGTGTTAGTTACAGTCGTTTTAGATAATATAGAGACTGCTCTGAGGATGTACTCTTAGAACAAAGATTTATATGATTCAAGGAGGAAGCCAAGCCCCACAGAGATCTTATAGTAGAACATTTCACATAGAGGGAGCAAAGAGAGAAAACTCTTGAGAGGAGAATGAGTTTAATACTGTGTGCAAGGAATGGTAAGAGATGATGTGATCAAAGCAAAGAGATAAATAATGACAGGAGACAAATGTGGGACAAATAGGTGAGGTCAGACCATAGAGTGTTGTTTTGGGAGAGACTTTGTTTTTTATTCTAAGTTCAAATGTAATTTGTTGAGGGCTTTGGCAAGGAATAACATAATTGGATTTATCTTTAAAAAGACAAAAAATCTGACTGCTTCTCAGAGAATGAGTGGATTTAAGAGATGTGAGAATAGGAAAAGGAAGACTATGAGACTCCTGCAGAGAATCTAAGCAAGAGGTGAGGGTCTTTGGAATACAGTGATGGTAGAAGAGGAGGTGACATCATTAGGTTTGTAATATATTTTGACAATACAGCTAACAAGAGTTGGGGGTTGTTTCAAGGTAGGCTAGCTTATAGTACAGTTACAAAAAAAAACCTCCAAACATCAGTGCTATAGAATACCAAAGGTTTAACTTTTGCTCACACTATTTGTATATTTTGAGTCAGCAAAATGCTCTAGCTTAGTCAGGAACCCGGGTTGATAGGTATTCTACCATATGAAACATTATCTATCACATGACAGATGTTTCTCCCATCTAATAGACAATTAGGTAACAATCCCTTAAGTGCTTCTACAAAGGGATGATGCATATAACATTCCCTCACATTTCACGCAGAGCAAGCCACCAATGGGCCATGGAAATGCAATTCTCTCATATATTCAGAATAGAGGCAAATGGACTTTGATAATTAGCATTATTGTCTATCATAGAGGTAAGTTAAATAAGATAAATGAAGAAAATAAGAGAGCAAAAAATGACCATTAGTGCCATGGCCAGGTGGCTCAGTTGGTTGGAGCATCACCCCAGGCACCAATGGTTTAAGGTTTAGTTCCAAGTCAGAGCTCATACCTAGGTTGCAGGTTCCATTCCTGGTCGGGGAGTGCATGGGAGTCAACTGAATGATGTTTCTCACTCACATAGATGGTTCTATCTCTTTCCTATCTTCTCTCTCTAAAATAATAATAGAAAAATGTATTCTCAGGTGAGGATGGAAAAAAAATGACCACCAGGATTTTGGCCCGAGCACCCTGGTAAATTTTGGAGCATATTGAAAAATTTGGTAGGGGATCATGTTTACATTTTTTTAAGAAAATAAGATTTATGTTACAGACAGTTAAGTCTAAGATAATATTTTATATATGATGAAGATTTTAAATAGAAGGTTGGCTATTTGAGCCTGATGATTAAGAAGTAAGTCAGAACCAAAGCCAATAAAATTGGTCAGATTGTCATAACTTTATATTGGGTTTGGGTCTTATTTTGAGAATGGTTGCAAGAACTATAAATATACTCAAGCTAATTTATATAAAGGAAGCTATCATGCTTAAATAAACTATATGAAAAATCTTGAAGGCCAAGAGCAGGATCTTTTGAGTGACTGGAATTGCCAATAATAAATCCAAGAAGGAGCATGGTAGTTCATTTTCATTCTTCTCTTAAATTCTCTCTCATATCTCTGTTTAATCATTATTATTTTTTGCACTTCATCTTCCCTAATTATTCACTTAACATGTGCCTACCCATTCATAGGACAATCAGTTCTGCTTGAAGCAAGGTCAGGGTTTAGCTTGATGAACAAAGTTGCATCTTCTGGGATTTTCAGCTGATCAGGTTTTCTGAAATGTTCTTTTCAAACTATGGGAGATGCATGCAATATGGCTCTCCTATCAGCCACTATGTTTTCCTCAGTCAGATAAGTGTATGATTCAATGATTCATTATAATTTTTACCATAAATAATAGTAATATTACGTGAGTAGTGAGCCTTCACACTTTGCCATTTACTTATTATCTGATTTTTTAAACCCTCAGGAAAGGGCACTTCTTTTTCTTTCCAAAAAGTAGTTGATTTTAATTCTATGTAAGTACACCAATGACCCCCATCTACGGGGCTATATATTTTTATATCCAGAGGTCTGATTGGAACACTTGAGCCAGGAAAATCATGTTTCTGTCATCCACTATCCACATGTTTCCTTTGCCCAGAGTCTGAACTGTGAGGAGGCTGTTGTCACTACATATTTAAAGTGATAAGGGACTTGAGGGAGCCCAGCTGAGCAAATAGTACAGTTGTGTCTAATTGCAGTGGCTGCAGCAG